TGAGATCCAGGGAGCAGAGTCGCTTTCTCTCCTCCTTGCACAAACAAACACTTTCATGGCTCAAAACCCAACGGCGACTCAAGATGCGATTTCTATGACCAAACAGCCGACGGGGCCCCTGGCATGTCTTATCAGCTCAGAGCAGAGGGCCGCAGAGGCCCAGGCAATTTGAGCCTTGTGATAAACTTCACAATTCCACTCAACGGCCCTTGATTGGTCCAAGAAGACGGGGAGGAAGAGAATGTAGGGAAAAGACAAGGGAGAAAGAGAGGAATGAAGGAGGACTGAGAGTGAGGGTGTTTATGAACTAACTTGTTTTGAGCAATGACAGAAATTTATGATGAAACGGAAACCCTTCTTGGTGTTGTCTGATGGGATGTTTGGTGCAGGAGCCGACGTTTTGTTGTTCGGCTTTAAAAGTTTTTCAAGATAGATCCAAATATAGTCACTATAGGCCACCCATGAATTTACCATGGCGAATGGGAATTATTAGGAAGAGGAGTGCTTTAAACCAGTGTTATTTTAGGATTATTTATGTAATAGGGCTATTCGTTAATATTTTGATTTTGCTTTTATTTTCTAAATTTCAGTTTTATTTAAAATTTATTTAATTCACTAATTCCCTATGATAAGCCTATAATAACATATTTGACAAAATGTCGTTTTAGGGATGTCAAAGTTAACTTGAACTCAATATATTAATGAAATATGTTTAACGTAATGCTTTTTTTTTACATTAATCAAATTTGATAATATTACAATTTAATTCTGCTAAAGTCTAAAGTATACATTTTAGAACTCATTATATAAATTGATTATTTTAAAAGTAAAAAAAAATCTGCATGTAGTTATATTTTACTAATTTGTTTAGTAAAATGGAATGAAACAATCATTTAATTCTCATTCAGTTTAGGCCTAAATGTGTTTTTATTAATAAAAATAAATAGCGGACTTTGGACATTTTGGGAAGGAGTTCATTTACAATGGGATCATCCTGACCTGAACATGGTAACATCACAGTCTCTGCTTCCTTTAAGAAAATGTTTGCAACAACAATATGATAAAAGACACAAATGATCCTTGAATGATTAGATTTTATTTTCAGCAATAATCCCAATAAACAATTCTTCCACTAAGTATCGTTCATAATTACGCGACTCTCTGCAACACTTGATCGGACAATCGCAATGTTTTGCAATAATGAGTGCTATTTTATAATGACTTTCAATGCAGTTAATCCAATGAAGAGGTGGATTTAAATGTACCAAAAAGTATTAGCATAATGCCATTTCTATAGCTAAATGTTGCTGTTCCAGCACGTTTAATCAGTAAAAGTCTGATATCTGGCAATACTGACCATGGTAAAACCCAATAATGTGGTAGTGTATTGTGTTGAGGTGCTATTGATGCTGTATTGATTTCCCTGGTCAAGGTCACGAGCAAAGAGAAGCATCTCTTCTGAGTACACTTCACTGATTGATTGTCTATTAGGGAAGAGCGTTAAATATCCCCTGCATTATGTAGCTTTGAAGCTAATGACAAAGCCAGCTTGCGCATGACTTATTAAGGCCAGGATGAAATAGAGCTCCAGCAATTGTGAAAGTGCTTTCTTGGCACAGGTCAGAGCTGATGCATAGCAGCCGAGTCTCCAGCCACAAAAACTCCACCAAGGACCTTGTTTAGTCACATCAGCAAATAACCATATGATAAATCAGTGCTGGATAATGGTTTGCAATATTACTTGCTTATGATAAAACACCCTGATGTGCTATCGGCTTTTAATGAGCGAAAAGCACAATGATTCATGTGAACCTCTCAGAAACAACATGAAGACCTCTTTTCATCCAGTCAGGATACAGAGACAAGGCATTTAATGTTGTTTATTAGATACATATAAAATAAGATAGAAAAATACATTATAAACCTGTAACAATGGCTGTTAAAACAGACATGTCTTCTCATAGGCAATACTTGGGCAGGGAACACACACGTTTGGGACTGAAAGACCTCATGTCGTACACACATATCCACATTAAAAGACATTCACATGATCAAACTTGATTCTTAAAGCCAAAATGTGTCATTTTGTTGATGTTAAAATACTTTTTTGTATTATCCCAGTTTCACGTGCAGAAACAACTATAAAGGAAGTTGAAAAACACGAGTCGATATGTCGTCATTTGGCTTAACCAATGGCACGGGTCAGGGGGCGGGGCTTCCTGTTGGACTGACCATGCTCGGAAATTCATTACATTATCAGTCCTTTTGGTGTCAGAATTACACACTTTTAAAAACCAGGACTAATCAGAATAATATACTTTTAATTGCTATTGAGTGTGAGACATCATGCTTTATCAATTACTGTATAACTCTCATCTTTCTTCATTAAGTATTTTATTTAATTTTAAAAATCAAATTATTGTATTCTTACTACCCCCCCCAAACCCCCCTGCTTTCAATACATAGATCATTCGCATTTCATACTCCAAAGCATTTTCAAACGCATCAGACCTTGATATCAGTACCTTCGTTGATATCATAATATTGTTATGGCACTGGAGAATCATAAGTGAAAACGAAGGGAAATGCAGACACAACAGGAAGACATGTTTGATGTCACAGAGACTCCCCTCAAGAGGCCATTGTGTTGCATAGTAAAGAAAGAGTTTCGAGGGGGACGAACGTGACAGTACACACAGCTTACCCACCGCTCTCATCCCATCACCAACTACATGCGGTTTCAAATCCACAAAATATCATTCTTTAATCAGTATTTGTTTTGTTTCCAAAAAAGGTTTAAGCATGTTCACTTCAGAGGCAAAATTATACAATATCAAAACTTGCTGGAAGAGAATATCTCTTGAATTAAAGTTGATTATTCTCACTCAACCGGAAACATTTATTTATTCATTTGGTGAGATTTATGCTTAAAACAAGGAAAATAAACTATATATTCTCTCAAAACTCTTTTTTTTTAACTTCCTTATTGCAGTTTTTTTAATAGTTAACTCAAGCTAAAAATATCAAAACAGTCATTGCTGGACATAAAATCAACATTAACTGACGTAACTCAATATATATATATATAGAGAGAGATCATTTTCATTTAGTTTAACTTGATTTGATGTAGAGGTGAAACTAAAAATGAAATAAAAAATTAATAAAAACTATATAGACATATTCAGGGGAAAATACAGAAAATACAGAAAACTAAAAAAAGTTAAATTAAAAAATTAAAAATTAAATAAAAAAGACTCTAAACAATGCTGGGTCAAATATGGACAAACCCAAATGTTGGGTTAAAAATGTAATTGAAAATTTTAACCCAACTTCAACTTTCACTTTCAACTGTACATTTTTTAATTACATTTTTAACCCAACATTTGGGTTTGTCCATATTTGACCCAAATTTGGGTTGAAATAACCCAGCATTTTTTAGAATGAATTTACCTCAAATGAATTCCAAATATTAATAAACAGGTATAATAGTCTCTAAATAATATTATAATAACAGTGCTTATTAGGGATACTTTGATATTTTAACTGTAAAACAAGACAAATACTGATAAAATAATTTTTTTGGTTACACTTTATTTGGTAACACTTTGTTTTACAGTGTCCTTGTTACACGTTACATGTACTTACTATAGTAATAACAGTAAATTATGCCTAATTACAAGTAACTAACCCTTAAGCAAACCATAATCCTAACTCTAACCCTATAGTAAGTACATGTAATTATTATTACTCAGTACTTAAATGCAAAATCACACGGTAACACTGACCACTTAAAATAAACCCGTTAAATTGACGTAGTTACAAATAAGTACTGAGTAATATTAGTTAACTACTGTACTTACAATAGAGTTATGGTTATGGTTAGTTGGTTGTAATTATGCATAATAGTAAGTACGTGTAGTAACGTAACTACGTCACCTTAAAATAAAGTGTTACAAAGTATTTGTTTTTTGCAGTGACTGTATCGTACCATACTGATGTAACAGTGCACTAAACTTCAACATAATGTGCAAATTATTTCATTCAAGTACTGCGAGCAAAATACCTACAATTCTGATGGATGTGTCAAGACTGAAGGCAACTAATACACTTTGACTCCCCGAGTCTGTTTGACAGTGTGATACTGGGAAACAGGAAGGCAGGTATAGGCTGGTGATCCGTCATTTTTGTGGTTTTCGGAAGGGAAAGCTGTGTGTACTGACCCGGGCCGGGCTTCCCAAAAGCATTGTAAGTCTAAGTAGATCATAGAAACCATTATGGCTCCGCAACAGCTTGAGGCTCTCACAAATTCATTTGTCCTTTGTGTCAAAGTAGCGCGAGCTACGTCAGAAATAGATCGGGGCATCGGTTTACCCTCGGGGATTTGTCATACACATGTCACATCCAGTGTAGACAGCATCACTGATTATAATGGGTTCTACTGGCTTTTATCGCATCGCTTTGCGCCGCTCGAGTCCGGCGTAGACGCAATGCTTTCTGGGAAACACAGCCCTGGTCTGATCATTCACCACTGATGATGACATTCATATTGAACATGAATCATGAGAACTATGATAAGGCACTTGAATGATATTTCCCTACCAGCCCCATCGGTACAACGAGAGGGTTGTTTTGGTCATCCACGTCTACATCCAATTACAGAAAACTGGATTGTTTTCACTTCATAAAGGGTTCAGTATTCTGTTTTTTTTTTGTTCTCTTCACAATATAAAATATTGAGTAGTAAAAATATACGTTCTCTGGAGGATAGTAAAAGTGTTGTTTCTGTACATGTTTTCTTTTGTCACTCTTTGAACTTTTATCTACACCTTTCATACATTTGTACAGCAGATAGGCAAGCATGGCTTATACATCCTCAGAGAGGCTTGTTCACTGAAAGTGTCGGATTGTTCCGGAAGGGAAATAGTCGTCTTCTTCTTCTTCTTCTTCCGTGATTTCAGCCGTCTCACTGAAATCGCTTCTCAAACGGTGTACCGGGATGCGATGATGCGACACAGATGTGCATGCACCATTCACCCCGTCATGCGTTACATTCAGACTCATTACCGTAACTGCAGGATCACTGGAGCGGTCCGTTTCCTCAGCGCTGTCGTGGAGCTGTAGGGTTTTGACAGCGAACTGGGATCGCTGAAGGTCTGGCTTTGATTTAGAGGGAGCGGGGCAAATCATTATTGCTTATTGCTTACAAAGAGTGCAGATCTACTGCGGCAGGAGCGTCTCCGTGTCCAACGAGTGCAAGCTGTATATCCACTGCCTGGGACAGCTCTTAGATACTCTTTTTTTTTTTTTTTTGTCTTTCATTCATTCATTTTAGGGCAGAGATGTGATCTGCAGGCAGGTAATGGGCAGGTCATCATTGGGTGAAGAGGTCAGAAGGTCAGGGGTTAGTTGCCAGTGGTGGCTGAGTGGGTTAGAGAGACAAACGAACAGAAAAGGGGGAGGGAAACAAGGAAAGGAGGAAGGAAACAAAAGATAGAGGAGATTAGTTTCAGCTAGTGGAAGCAGGATGACAATATGAAAAGCATTTATAAACCGATCACAAGTATAGGCTCTTGATTCAGTCGAGTCTCCCCACAGCACAGCTTTAAAGGGGACACACCAAGACAGGACGTTTTTGAGCGACCGTCAGCTTATTTTTTTCGGTCTAGTCGGATGCCCTCAGGTTTTTTTGGGGCCGATTCATCATGTTGACTCGCTGTCGGTGAGATAGAGAACGCTGATTGGCTGTTCAGTTTAGCCGAACGAGTCTAAAAGCGATAGGGAATGAAAGCGAGCAAAGAAGTCAAGATGGTGCAGACAGAAGGCTGTTGAATGCATTTGAATGCACAAATATTTTCATAAACGACTGGAATGAAAAAAAGTGATCAGCGTGATTGATATTTAAAATGGTAAGCAAGCGCTGCTTTGTTTATGGTTTGTATCTGCAGCCCTAGTTTCAGTTTCACTTTTTGAATGATGAAAATAGACTATTGATATGTGATCCTGATATGGACAGATATTTACTTAGAACACACTTGCTAGTTGAAAGTCGGCTTTAGTCATTTTGGTGTGTTCAAGCGCAACGTTTTGGCCGAGACACAGTCCGCTTTCTCCGCCGCTAGTTCTTCGACGTCAGCTTGGTGTGTCTCGGGCTTTATATCTCAGAGCTAGACATAAAACGGTTACATGTGTTATTATGCAGATAGCTATGCTAAATTTAAGTGAAGTTTTATATGCAAACATTCAAGGTGTAATTCTATATTAAAATATATATTTATCCCAGCTTAATATGTTTATTTAATATTCATTTGTTCATTTATAAGTACGGCAATTGTCGGTTTCCCCAAAACTGTATTATCGCACAGCTCTCTATATAAAGTTGAATATATATTACATGATATCCAACTTTACGTAAAACTTTTCACGTAAAGCAATCCATACTATATAGCAAATCTCAACCGCGCGATTGCTTGTATTGGTGCAAAATGTAAAGTATATTATAATCTGCTAATCTATTAATATGTTATAAACATTAACATCAGGGGCGAGTTGCATAAACCTAGCCACTAGACTAGACTAAGTCTAAGCAACTTCCCACTAGGCCACTGGGATTTTTTGTAAAGCTGATTTGAAACGTATTTTGTGAAGAGCGCTATACAAATAAATTTGACTTGACTTTTGACTTGGCTGGACTTTCTGTTAGTTCGTCCAATTGAAAACAGGGGGAATATTCAATAAACCCGTTTGAAAACAAACATTTAACTAATTTGATCATTCATTGGACGAAACCAAGCTTGTGTAAATAACAACTTTTGCTGTGGGTTGACTGAATGTGAGAGCCGTGGAAGAACTGTTGGTCTTCAACTATGTTATATAATAAAATCATGAGGTAAAAGCATGATTTTACACTCAGCATGAGGAACAGCCTATATTCTGGCAGGTCACGTGTTAAGAAGGAAGAAATTAAGAGAGAAAACACTCAGAAAATACAAAAGAATACAACAGTGATAAATGTGTCTAATGGTTAGTAGCAGTCAAGTGAATGGACGGACTGAAGGAGCGGTCACACTAGGCTTAAGCGTGACAGGATATGATGTTATTAAAGGGATACTCCACTTTTTTTGGAAATAGGCTCATTTTACAACTCCCCCAGAGTTAAACTGTTGAGTTTTACCGTTTTTGAATCCATTCAGCCGATCTCCGGTTCTGGCGGTACCACTTTTAGCATAGCTTAGCATACATCATTGAAGTGGACAAGACCATTAGCAGTTCTAAAAAAAAAATGACCAAAGAGTTTCGATATTTTTCCTATTTAAAACTTGACTCTTCTGTAGTTACATCGTGCACTAAGACCGACGGAAAATGTAAAGTTGTGATTTTCTAGGCTGATATGGCTAGGAACTATACTCTCATTCCTGCGTAATAATCAAGAAACTTCACTGCCGTACCATGAGAGCAGCAGGCGTAATGATATGACGCAGCGCCTGAAAATATGCCATCTTCCGTCAACACAACGGAACTATTTTCAGGCGCTGCGTCATATCATTACGCCTGCTGCACTCATGGTACGGCAGTAAAGTTTCTTGATTATTACGCAGGAATGAGAGTATAGTTCCTAGCCATATCAGCCTAGAAAATCGCAACTTTACATTTTCCGTCGGTCTTAGTGCACGATGTAACTACAGAAGAGTCAAGTTTTAAATAGGAAAAATATCGAAACTCTTTGGTCATTTTTTTTTTTAGAAATGCTAATGGTCTTGTCCACTTCAATGATGTATGCTAAGCTATGCTAAAAGTGGTACCGCCAGAACCGGAGATCGGCTGAATGGATTCAAAAACGGTAAAACTCAACTGTTTAACTCTGGGGGAGTTGTAAAATGAGCCTATTTCCAAAAAAAGTGGAGTATCCCTTTAAATTTCATTTTTGATTTGTCCAAGTTCAAATGTTGGCTTTGGATCTGGAGTGCATCATTTTAAACATCATTTTAAAGGATTTGTTTGAGCCAAGAGGTCAATCCAACATTAGGTCCTCTATCAAACCTGAACTTCGGTCCACAGTTCTGAGCATATGCTCACGGTGGCACGCGTACGAGTCTAGTGTGAGCGCTCACGAGAGAAGATGACATGAGAGGAGATCTGAAGACCGTCGGTGAAGGTCACATGACTGCTTTTAAACACTCGAGCATTGAGACGGCAGTTAAGATGGAGATGGAAGATCATTGCTTTCTTGTTAGGAATCGAGGCATTGAGAAATTTAGTCCGAAATAATTTAGGTCCTTTTTGTTTTTAATTCAATAAAACTTTTTATTGCCTTTTCAAATTCCTTTTTGTTCTATGTACAACAACATAAAAATCTTAGCCTTAATGATACAAGCAACACTACAAGGTATTTTCTAGCATAATAGCCATGGAAATTCAAGCTGTGGGACTTTTAGCCTTTACCCTCAGACTATCACAGGACACATAATATAAAATGCTTTTGCATATAAACATTGAAAAAGTCTTATCATTCATATATAAAGCCCTAACATATATCCAAAAATATAGGAAATTTTCTAACATGGTGCTATAAAGCTGCTATGATGCATATTTTTTCTTTCCTACAAATAGCCCTCTATAATACCATTACTATCTCTTCCAAAATACAAGTCAAATTTGACAATTCATATACATTCCTGCTTTATATATTTTTTTTAGATATATATATTTTTTATATATATTTTAAAAGCCACAAGTAAATACTATTTTCTTTTCGACAACACAAAATAAAATAAAAAGAAGCTTACAGTAAAACATAAAAAATGTATCAAGTGGAGTTTTTTTTTCTTTTCTTGAATGCATTTCTACTCTCACAGATCCGCGGAGTGGCGCTGACACTAGCGTCCACTCGCGGCGGGCGACCTTAAGACTCGACAGGTTCACTTCAGTCTCGTGCTCTGAGGTGTGATGTGGCTTTCACTTTTTCTAAAAGTCTGCTCTTGAAGAGCGGAGGAGATGAATGTTTCTGATGTATTCAGTGCAAAATAAAAGGCTTGTGCCACATAGAAACACTTTATCGAATGAGGCAAAATACCGACAGATGGAAATAATAATAACAATAAAAATAAGTAAACAGCTGAAATAAAAAAGTGATTCGTGTGGTCCAGTACAAATGCACAGATTGGAAATCTGGAAGTTCTGTGCAAATGGGTTCTCAAAAGTAGATTTTCTTCAAAGCAGTAGTTCCATTATATAAAAACACGTATAGCACAAAACGGATATGAAAAACAAAACATTAAAAGAGAGGAAGCAACCTCAACTGTGGTCATCTGCCAGCTAAAGCAAACAAAACATCTGTATCGTTGACCATGTGACTTCACCGAGTGCAACATGTCTCTGGATCAACGTCTTTGTTGAACATTCCAGTCAGCCAATCAGATTTGAGGGACGAGTCTACAGTTTTTGTCAAGTTTAGTCTTATAACCAGGGTTTGGTGCTTCTACGTCAGTGTCATTTCCCTCTGATTTTAGGGATAAGTTACGGGCAGGGTTGGGTTTAGGACTAAATATTCAGACAGGAATGTTGTTCCAGGATCAAATACGTTGACCCAGGAACATGTCTTACTTGGCAAAATCACTGTGACCACACACACACACACAATGTCTAACCTGCGCCGACTGAATTTATATGTAATTCGATGCATGTGAACAGGGACATTTCAGAGTTTACAGTTTATGGAAATACTGAGATAGACCTGATTTTGTAATTGTTTCATAGTGCTGAGGTGATTATTGTCAAATCATTATCCACCTTAATGAATGGACTTATGTAATATTTAATGATTAATGCAATTATTTGAAACATGCGTTGGGGTCCAAATAGAAATCAAATTCAAAACCATTTTAAGCCTGGAAATAAACAAAGATTTCTGATTAATATTAAGATTCTATGATAAACGTTATGAAGCACCGAAGCTTGAGATGCTCTTCTCTTCTTTCTCGCTGCTCACACACCAAATATTATGACGGTATTAAATTAATGTTATATTCTCAACATTAAACTCAAAATGCTACTCTGAATACTTTAGTTATATATTTTATTAAATAAAAATAGAGCATTTTCACTATGGGGGATGGTTGTCCAAGACTTGTGGAACTATACAGTACACGTTTATTGCCACTATTTTTTTATTTTCAAGAATTTAACATGTAGTCAGTCACTATATCATCCTCTTTCCAATGTTTGACAGAACATATGTAAACGAGATGAGCTTTATTGGACATTTGGCTATTAAAATCCAGTATGTGAGCACGGATTAGGGGAGAAAACGGATGTAAACTGCAGACAATTGCCGCATTACGTCATCTAGAGACATTTTGCTACTTTTTGAGCAGGCTTTCCACTAAAAATATTTGGCAACACTGGATACAGATGACCTCCATTACACAAGACTGCATACTATTACAATTTTGACAACTGTCAATCAAATCTCACTATCAGCAGACATTTGATTATTACCATATCATATTCCAATTATTTATTATTACACTTGTTGATTCACACAAGGAGAAACAGGCCATCTTTCCTTTCTTTAAAGCTGAAGTGTGTAATTTCTGCACCACATCATCAAACAGAATTGCATAAATAATGTCTGTTTTCAAACAGGTTTCTCCTCCTCAATATTACGCCATTGGTCAGGTCAATGTTGGGCTGGTCGGGATGCTCCTAGAAAAAGATCAATGCTTTTGAAGGAGTTGAAGGAGTCTTTGGCTCATTCTCAGTCTTTACACTTTTCAGGGGAATCAATCTACGAATGGCTAACTGGTAATTGTGACTGCATATATTTTAACATTGACAAAATGACACACTTCAGTTTTCAGGTTTTCATAATAATGGCATTTTTGTTTGTTCCGAAAGCCTGTAACCTATTGATGGCGAACACGGATTTTAACACGCATTATTGCTATTCTATTGTATTACATGTACTTCTAAACAACCACTTTAGCTCATATAGAAAGGACAAGTTCACGATGAGATCTCCATCTATTTAAATGGTGTCCAAATGTTTCAAGAGTCAAAATATATAAAAGCTGATTTACTGTTTGCATAACTAGAGGAAACTAGAACTGCTGAGTGTAATTGGGTGAATAAAGCCCATGTTCACATGAAAAGATCCATTATTTGTCATCAACATCATGCTGAAATCATAAGGTCATCAAAATAATGGAATCAAGTCAACCACTCCATCTGCGCAGGAAAGACCACATATACATGAGTGTGTGTGTGTGTGCACGGGAACTGAAGGGTTCAGAACAAACACACCTTATTAAACGGCACGTCTTTTAACATGCTCAAACCGCACATGCTTCACAACAGATCAGGACCAACAGTGAGTTGCTACTGTAATGAAGAGAAGCACTTAACTAAACTAACCTCTGTCTGCGGTCACTACCCTTTGGTAAGGATGGACGCGCAGTTCGTGCCTTCGAACTTTAGCTGTCACCGCACCTGCTTGGATTGCAATAACATCACCAGAAAACACATCGACATCAGATCAGTCAAACCTCACAGTCTCCATCAGATCCATCACATCACACGTGTGTGTTGACAAATGCAAATCATTTAAATTATACAAGTTAAGGCACAAATAATACTTTTGTAAAACTCCGAAAAAACACGTGTTTGTACAAAATTCAAACATGGTTTCATTTATCCCCAGTGGGTTTTTGCGTGGCTTGGACACGGGATGACAGACATCACACTCACCGGGAAGCTTTACTACTCACGTAATCTCGCGCACGAGCGACAGTGTTTTTAAATATAATACTGATAAAGTCCCTCTCTGAGATAAGGCACAGAGAGAACAACATTTAGGCACATCTGCTGGAGTACAAAACAATAAAACAGGAGAATAGAAATGTACGGCAATGAATTAAGTGATTAGTAAAGCAGAACAATCGATTTTTTTTCCCATTCCACACAAAAGCGTAGCAGTCAGCGGCACAGTCCCGGGGAAACGCGTGAGCATGGAGGCATATGTATGGCATTACAAGTACAGTCTCTGTGGGCTCTGGGAATAGCCAGTGTAAACGAACAGGAGTGTGTGGGACTGACTGCTAGGCCAGACTCATGCTTGAGAACAAACATCGCTCAAAACCAACAAGGCAGCTGTGAAAGGAAAGCGTGTGGATGTTAACACTCAGATGGGATGAGGGGCTCAGTGAGGATCCTGGGAAACGCATTTAGCCTTTCGTGGGGGAAAGCCACACCTAAAGAATGAAGGAAGGGAACGGGAAATTAGTGGCGGGAAGCAACACACACCACAGTTCTAGGACAGTTTGTGAGGCGATGGCGGTCAATCTCGGTAAAACCAGGTCATGCACCACTGTTCAACTGTACTGGGGTCAGTATTCTTTTAATGTTTTGGAAAAAGACTCTTACGGTCAACAAGGCTGCATTTATTTGAATCAAAAATACTATAAAAACAGCAATATTGTGAAATATTATTACAATTGAAAGTTTTCTGTTGTGATATATTTTAATATGTCATTTATTCTCAGCATCATTACTATTATTATCAATGTTGAAAACAGTTTTTGTTTTTGTGGAAACTGCTTATTTTTTCTAGGATTCTTCAATAGAAAGTTCAAAAGAACGACATTTATTTGACTTTTTACTGTCCCTTTTGATTCAACTTAATGCGTCCTCGCAAAATAAAAAGTATTTAATTATTTAATAATATTACTATTATTTAATTATATTAATATTTATTGTATATCTGCGTCATATTTCAACCAAAAATCTGACATTATATTTTGCATAAAGTTGTTCAGATATTTTGCATTGTGACAAAAGTCAATTAAGAACATTTTCTCCCATATTGCATATGGGTGTTTTGCTGTTTTAAATTTTGTGTTTAAATCACAATAAATACAAACTATTGAACTAAAACTGTAATACTGCAGTGTAACAAATACTACAATGATGTGTAAATACTTTATACATACAGCTGAAATGGTCTACTTAAGCATGTGGTTTGAAACAGGCCTCACGGTCATAGGAAAAATGTAACCAAAAGTCACAAAAAAATGCAAAAAATCGTAATTTTTCTTAACGCCAAACTATTTTGTGGTAGACTATGACCCTGACACGTTATTAACAGGCTTATCAAAGTAGAAAGGTTTATAATATAAGCTGGAATGTCCTTGTGGTGTGATTATATATTGTGACTATATGTCACTTTAGATTTTAAGCCAAAATGCCCCACCGGAGTCCTAAAACTGTCCTAAAACTGCTCAGGGAACAGCCTGGCTTCAACAGATGCCCGTTCTCAAATCTCCCCTCACAATTTAAGCAGCCCCCATTCGGCCCCCACTGTCCCCTCACCATCCTCATGTTGCCCCTCCTGATGCCCCTCACCCTGATGTGTCCCGCTCAGACTGAGGGATGGGGGTCATCCAGAAAGGCTTGTGCAGCAGTTTGGGGCTCAGTGCTTTGTCTCCCTCATCATTGTACACACAAACAAAACAAACTAAAACATCACATTACAGATACAAAACAAAAAGTACAAAACCAAACACAGAAAAACAAAAACCATGATTTAAAGAAACAGACAGAATGAAAGAGGCCGGGGAGTCCAGCCAGTCCGATAACAGGAGGCGGGGCAGGGGGGGGGGGGGGGGGGGCGTGTCTGCGGTGTGGGGGCGGGGCTTGTCGGAGGGGGCGGGGCAAAGAGGGGCACTTTAAAAGGGAGGCCGACCGGTTGGCTCTCCGCGCTGGACTGTGATGGGAATGTGACAGGTCTGAAAGCCCAGGTAGAGGGGCAGCTCTTCGGCCTTTGAGGACGCTGTATAGGTCACACAAGAAAGAAGACAGGGTGAAAACCTCCCCTCAAAACACCCTTCCATCTCTAATGGGGCGTTCACACATACACACATTATATCACTCTTACTGCCGCTTTAATGGTTCTGGTGGGCTGTTCATAGCTTTTCAAAATTTGATCACAAAAGCAATATGCAGGTCGTGAAAACATGCCGCCGTTTTAATCTGACAAGGAATCGGTTTACTTGCACACTGAGAATATTCTTAAATGTGAATTTCTGCAGCGGATTATAAAAGATGAACGATTATCAATGAATGAATCAAACCTAGAATGCCAATCATTTCTGAGATGGTTTCTGACATGCCTGATACTTGTTTTGTAAACAAATGTAAATTTACTTTTATGTTTAACAAAAATATATATATTTTAAATAATTTTTTTATGTATTTATCTAAAACTAAAATCAAAGCATAAACATATTTTCATTACTTGAAATGAAATAAACATTAACTGCGATAAAAAACATTTGATTTCAGATTTCAGATTTTTATTTAGTTTAAAATAAATAAAACTACATAAACTAAAACGTAATAAAACTATATAGACATATTGTTAACACTTTTACAATGATTAGTTAACATTAATGTATTAACTAACAATGAGCAATACATTTATTTATTTATTTAATTTATTTGTTAATCTTTGTTAACATTAGTTAATAAAGATCCAGCAGTTCATTGTTTGTTCATGTTAGTTCACAGTGCATTAACTAATGTTAACAAATACAACTTTTGATTTTAATAATGTATTAGTAAACGTTGAAATGAACATTAACTAAGATTAATAAATGCTGTAGAAGTGCATTTCATTGAAACCTTATTGTAAAGTGTTATTTAAAAATAAAAACTAATAAAAATTACAAAAAGACACCATTACTAAAACTTTAACTAAAATTTAAATTAAATCAAATAATTTTTTTTTATTTTAACCAAAAACTATAATAGTTTACCAATACTACATAACTCCCAAACCTCCATTTGTGTTATTTCATCGTGATAACTTATTATTTTAAAATGTGGAAATAATTAAGTTTACATTTATGTCTCTCTCTTGTGGCATTGCATCAAAAAGATGCTTTTTTCCTCAACTTTGATGTATCACTGGACACGCCCACACTGGACACACCCACACTGGACACACCCACACTGGACACACCCACACTGGACACACCCACTGGACACACCCACACTCGACACACCCACACTGGACAAGCCCACACTGGACACGCCCACACTGGACACACCCACACTGGACACACACACACTGGACACACCCACACTGGACACACCCACACTGGACACACCCACACTGGACACACCCACTGGACACACCCACACTGGACACACCCACACTCGACACACCCACACTGGACACGCCCACACTTAACACGCCCACACTGGACACACCCACACTGGACACGCCCACACTGAACAAGCCCACACTGGACACACCCACACTGGACACACCCACACTGGACACACCCACACTGGACACTCTCGACACACCCACACTGGACACGCCCACACTGGACACGCCCACACTGGACACGCCCACACTGGACACACTCGACACACCCACACTGGACACACCGGACACACTGGACACACCCACACTGGACACACTTGACACACCCACACTGGACACACTCACACTGGACACACTCGACACACCCACACTGGACACACCCACACTGGACAAGCCCACACTGGACACACCCACACTGAACACGCCCACACTGGACACACCCACACTGGACACACACACACTGGACACACCCACACTGGACACACCCACACTGGACACACTCGACACACCCACACTGGACACGCCCACACTGGACACGCCCACACTGGACACGCCCACACTGGACACGCCCACACTGGACACACCCACACTGGACACGCCCACACTGGACACACTCGACACACCCACACTGGACACACCGGACACACTGGACACACCCACACTGGACACACTCGACACACCCACACTGGACACACTCACACTGGACACGCTCGACACACCCACACTGGACACACCCACACTGGTTACTGGAAATCGCCAAATTAAATGTCTGACTTCCAGCTGCCCAGTTCTTGCAAACTCGCTGTATATGTGAACGGCCCGTCCTTCCCTCCACCCACAGACAGAGTAACGCTGAGACTGTCCTATAAGGAGCGTGCTGTGAACCATCCTGCTTGAGACCGGCTCAATAAACATGCTTATTGGACAGTAGCTAAACCCTCCTTCATCTGCTCTAATTGGACACGCTGCTCTTGGCATTGGGACGGCTATTTGTCGCTTCTCAACTTAACACCTTGCCTTTGGGAGAAGCCAGTGTTAAACTGGCAGAATGCTGTTGGTAACATGATATTCATAATCGGCTTTTCTCAAGTGCTTTAATGAAGCCATACAGCTTGTGTGGAGTGGAGAGGACAGGGCTTTTGAGAGAGAGCGCTCTCATTATTCATATAAAGCCAGTAGAGCGCTTAAAAGCCAAATCATTTACGCAAACATTTCTTAAAAGGATTTTTTTCTTCCATTTTTTATGATGAGCGAGGATTTTTTTTATGACGCTAAATGGATTAAGTGTAAAAGGCTTGAAGTATTGTTGTTTTTGTTTGTATATTATTGCCTATTACGTCCTGCGACAGCAGAGGCTGTGGTGCTGCTGGCCTTCATGCGGGAAACCAGAGGCTTTTGGTTGGTGTGAGGGCAGGGTTTGGGTGTGTTTATGGTGGAGGAAATTTTAGAAGAACGCATAGGGAAGGGGTGGGCGGTATGATCAAATCTTACATCACAGTATGAGACATGTTATAGCACGGTAATGCATTATATCATAATATACATCCTCTTGTTGATACATTGTTAAATTTTTATATGGAATTTCATGTACACAAAAGATCAGGGGCCAAATTCACAAAACGTTTTTTTTTTTTTTTTTTTCAAAGTTCACATTACTGAATTATGTTTTACAAGACAATGTCAGTCTTTCTATTTTAAAATGTCATGTTTACTTCAATGTCATTTCTTTGTAATTAAATATGAAATTTACATGAAATTTCTAAATGAAAAGGGGAATAATAATCCAACACCAAGGATTACAGCTGAAAATGGTTATTTTTGCGGCTGAGCTTATTGCATATGCATTTGTAGGAGTTTCCCTTTCAGACGCAAAATGTATGTGAGGAGAGTGTTTAAATGAATTGAGTAAGGTGATTTACTAAGGTTTGCTCTAGTCAGTTTACTGATATTTTCTCCATTATGTACCGCTCCAAAAAAGCACGTCTTAAACCAGACTCTAGCCTGCACTGCTCTTGGTAGATTGTGTTGGTCATTACGGAAATGATCCGGCTAACCTCTTAAGGTTAAATATTTTATTAACAATAGTATTTGCACACTTATTATGATTATTATGGTGATCTGCAGGCAGCGGCAAAAGACGGTCTTTGGGGTGTTTTTCATTGAGCTAATCAGCGAGTCTTCTGCAAGAAATGCCATAAAATCAGAACATTTTCTTCTCAAGATGTTCTTCAGAAAATATTTGAAAACTTTTTGAGCGTTTTTCAAGAACGACCCTTAGCAAAAATTCTTACAAACTTCTTAGAATTTATCGGAAGAAATTTCTTAACTTCTAATTTGAAAAGATTTTTGTGAATCCGGCCCCAGATTATTCATAAAGTCTGGCACCGAAATGTTTTAAATCCACTCAGAATGTAAAAGCAATATTATAAAATGGGTAGGTCAGACTAAAAGTTTTAAGCTTTGTATTTTCACATGTTTATCCCATATTTCTCTATGGTACATAAGGAAAATAAGGAAAAGCAAATAAATGTAATGTGGAATAGCAAAATGTCACGTGCTAAATATCATCATACCGCCCATCCCTATCGTACGGCCATAGTAGACATGGGAGTCCATCAGGGCTTGACATTAACTTTTTGTGGCTACTGTTTACTTGCCTCACAGCATTTTCATTTGCCACATGGGAGAAATCCCCCACATGGATATTTTTAATATTATTTTATAATTTGGCAGGAGGTGCATTAGGCTACTGTCACTTTAAGACCTGACGCAAGGATCCATTATACTGTCTGTTACACATGTGTTTTCTTTCTCAACTGTTAACGTTCACTTAAAACATAACTGACTGAGTTTACTTGCCAATACAGGCATTTTGACATAATTGTATTTGACTGTTTAGGCGCAATAAACAGCGAAAAACAACGCAATTTAGCACTGGGAGGAGGCTTTACGTCCGCGCACTTTGGGTGTGAGCACAAAACCTGCGGGAATGCCGAAATTCAAGCCCCGTAACACCAACAATTTATCCGGGGTAAATGAAGCGAGTGAGTGAGGGGAGGCGGGTTTGTGTGTCACTCGCCGTCGGAGAGATGAGAGAGAGAGAGAAATGAGTATTTCAGATATTTCAATATCGATTTGTATCGAAAAATCGATATTTTTGACAACACTGCATTGCACTTAGTTTATTATTTCAGATGCCTTTTTAAAAGACTACAACTGAAAAATGTTTATTTATTATACATAAAATTCAACCCACCAAAATGGCTAGTAGGAGTGACTGCGTTACACGCCACTGCTGAAATCCACCAGCATTCGGCGGGTTGGCGGGTGTTAATGTCAAGCCCTGGAGTCCACGGGCCATGCTGAAAGGGTCTGGTTGGGGTGAGACATTGGCAAGTGTGGCTATGCTTACCTAACACCCCGCTGGAGTCGATGGGATACTCCAGAATGGAGGTGGCGGGGCCCAGTGTGTAGGGGTAATCGTAGGGCGTGGCGTAAATCAGGCCTGACTCTGGACCGGACTGCATTAGGGTGGCGCCTGCCGGGTGGGTGGAGCCGTTGGGCATGACGGTCTGGATCTGGCGGATGAGGGGCATGAGGGTCGGCCCTGCGGGCGTAGGCGTGCGCAAGGCTGTGGGCGGCAGGCCAGGCGCTGGGCCGGTGATGATCCGAGGCGCCTGGGCGCTCGCTGCAAGAGAGAACGCAAGGGCAGCTGCGGTGAGCAGAAAAATGTGAGGGTGGGGGTGGATGAAGACGGGTGGGGTCGGGACAAAAAAGACAAAAACAGTTAGAACCATGCACAGGCAAACACTGGACACAGAGCATGACAGCGATGCTAAAGCTGTTTAGCTATTCATTAGTAAACAATGCCAGCGGACTCGAACATACGCCTTAGGAACAATATCGCACTCCTGCAGGTCTACAGCGCTCCAGTACTCTTTACTCAAGCAGCAAAGCGAGGAGGAGGATGTCACAACATCCAGTGAATTAAGGAAACATTGTTTTCACAGATAGCAGTGCATGTTCTCAATTCTTTCAGTTCATTAGCTGCTCTTTGGATGTAGGCGCTAATTCTGGATCACAATACTGAGACACTTGTCAGAGGATTTATCAGGGAATCAGGGTTACTTGGATTACCGAGAGCCGCACTTACGAAGGCTTCACACAATACTGTCTCTGTTTGCTAGCAGAGGAAGTGGGCGCTTACGTGATTTGATATTGGCATCTCTGTAGGTGCCGTTGAGAATGGCCAGTTCCATCAGTTGCATCTTCTTCAGACTGTCCTCTCCTTCGGCCTGTCGGTATAAAGAAACGCAAAGAGGTCAAAAACATACGCATACTCTTTACTGCTACTGTTCACGCTGCAGCTGAAAGCATTTTCTAATAGAACTTTATTTTACAGTCCTGTTCCCCCACATACATACTATGTACTTATTATAGTAATTACAAAAAACTGGGTAATAACTAGGACTAACCCTAAATCTACCCCTAAATCTAACCTTAACCCATGTTGTTGCCTTATATTAACCAGTACTTTCTTAGGTAAGTACACTCTAAGTACACGTACAGTAAGTGCACATACTGTAAAATAAAGTGCAACTTCAAATCTAACAAAATCTTTTGAACAAAGTCTATCTAATGCTTGGCCAGTACATTTCAAGCACAAGGTTGTACATATTTAATATGCGTTCTTCCTCTGCTTCGGCGGTAATAAACCTCAGTACTCCAGGGTGATCGAGGTTCCTTCAAAAGGATGCGCCATTAAAGCATGTGTTCATCTAGCTAGCTATAAACGTTTCGAGAGTTTAAACAACTCTAGGTAGTTTAAACTAATCTGCTCCGCCATGATAATAGACAACCGAAAGAGAAAACTAATCAACGATCTGCATTAATTCCTGAAATAAGCAGGGATTGACTAGCCTGGGAAAACCCAGACAACTTCCGGCAAATTTAGATTTGCTCTGCAAGTTAGTCTGGCAAAGAGCTCATTCAAGCCCATTTCCAATCCGCCGAAATCGAGGCACCAATCAGAAGCGTTGGGGCGGGCTTTACACGATGACGACAGCGCTGGGATTTTGAAGCAGATTTTGTAGCCTACATTTACAAAGATGGATGCCGCCGTCGAACATCACTCGTTGGAATCAGCTATCGCGTCTGTTTTAAGCGATTTGAACGTTTCCTTTTTGTTAAAAACCGAGCAAAGAACAACACTCGGAGATGTTTCTCCGCCGCTCTGCATACGTCATCTCCTTCATCGCTCTGATTGGGTTTAGGTCTATCCGCGACGTCCGTTGGTGACGCCCCTCTGGAAATGATTTGTCTATGACGCTTTGCCAGACCATAACTCAGTTACAACTGAGAATGGTCTGGTTTTAACCAGGCTAGGGCTTGACATTAACACCAGCCAACCCGCTAAATGCAGGAGGATTTCAGCAGTGGTGTGTAACACAGTCACTCATACTAGCCACTTAGGTGGGATGAATTGTATATATAATAGGGCCGGGACTTTAACGCGTTAATTAAGATTAATTAATTACAGACTTTAACGCGTTAATTAATTACACAAAAAATATATTTTTAATCGCACTTATTTTTGCACCGCGGAACGTTTCTCACTGGATGAGTTTCGGCGGACCGATTATACTGGCGCACCAACTAGCGTTCATGACGAAGAAGCTGACGAGATCGCTTTGGTTGGCCGGTGGATGGGAAATTTTGTTACAAAAAACGGATGGAAGCGTCGATAAGAGCATGGTTGTGTGCAAGCTATGCAACAAGGAATTCGCTATTGCTATTAGTGTAGTGTAGCAATATGCTATTGCTACACTTAATGGCAAAAATTGCACTGGTCTGCTGGACTTGGTTGAACAAAAATAAACAATATTTTGTATTCAGTCATTATTCAATGGTATACTAAAAATCCATGTGAAAAAAATTACTTCTCACTGTTCTCAGGTCAAATATTTATGCAATTAAAATGCGATTAATTTCGATTAATTAATTACAAAGCCTCTAATTAATTAGATTAATATTTTTAATCGAGTCCCGGCCCTAACATATAATATATATATATATATATATATACATTATTCAATAGTAGCCTTTTACAAAATCATCTGAAATAATAAACTAAGTGCAATGTAGTGTTGTCAAAAATATTGATTTTTCGATACATATTGTTTTAGCTTTTTAGAAGATTTTTATATTTTTTCCCAGCGTATATTAATTGTTTTGTATTGTATATCTCCTCAAGTTTTTCCGTACGATCTATCAAAAAAAAGAAAGAAAGAAAGAAAGAGAAACTTTTAGCTTGGCCCAACACTGAAAAAAAGAAAATGGGATAACAGTCTTTAGTCTTTGTTACACACGTTAGTTGCTTTAGTAATTACTATAAATTGTGCGTAATTGCATGCAACTAACCCTAAACCACACACACTAATCCTAACCTAAACCCTAGAGTAAGTACGTGTAGCTCATTATTATTACTCAGCACTTAAATCTATAATCACACTGTAACACTGACACCTTTTTAAGGTGCATTACACTTTATTTTAAGGTGTAATTATATATTTGAGTACTTACTGTAATGCAATGTAATGTACTATAGGGTTAGGGTAGGAATAGGGTTTGGTTGAGGGTTAGTTGCATGCAATTATGCATAATTTACTGTTATTACTACATGCAACGCATGTAACATGGACACTGTAAAATAAACTGTAACCTAATAAAGTGTAACTGAAAATGGCAATGCTTATATTTGTACAGTCCCGTGCCTCATGATGTCTGAGGGTCTCAGAGAGATCAGTGTGTGTTTGTGGCGTGTGGAGATGAGCTACAGTAAGAGAGATGTACTGTATTTACTCCCCTGAGCCCTCCCGCCACCGCTGAAACACTGCCCGCTCCCTCCCTGTGCATCTAAATATCAATACTTTATTAAGTCAAGAGCCCGCTGATGAATAGAGCGGGACAGAGCTGTTATAAATCACTCTCTGTCTTTATTTAATCAGCCTAATGTGCTCTGTCCTTGAGCGGCTGGCCTCTGAGAGCACACGTTCACTTATGAGAGCCTGAGAAAGTTGCGGGAACAACTCTTTTCAGAGATGGCCTACATAGCAGAACTTAAGAAAGTTATGTTATGAAGTTATGAAATATATATGCTATTTCTTCCTGTGTTGTTGTTTTGATCTACACCGCATCGTCCTGGTGAGTAGACATGCTTTATTAGTGGTGACAGATGACGGGACCGCAGGAGGCTACATCTCTTATTTTGAAAGCTTCAGGAGGGTGAATTGAGCTTGGTCTTATGGATAAAAGAGAGTATTCAATGGCTATATGTGGAGAGGAATATTAGCAAGCTCCTCACTGCACTCTGCATGACAGCTGAATCATTTAGAAAGGTTTTAGTTAGTTTTGTGGTGAAACTGTTAGTATTGTAAGACTGATCAAATAATGAGTAAAGGGAGATTTTTGGTAACACTTTACATGAATTAAGAATGAACAGAATTGATTAACTAAATTAATGTTAATTTCAACATTTACTAATACATTATTAACATTTAAAGTATTTGTTCACATTAGTTTATGCACTCTGAACTAACATGAACAATCAATGAACGGCTGGATTTCTTAATCCAGTTTTTAATTTAGTTATCTTTGTTAATTTAACAAAGATTTATAAATACTGTAACAAATGTATTGCTCATGGTTAGTTAATACATTAACTAATGTCAACCAACGAAACCTTATTGTAAAGTGTTATCGAGCTAAAAAAATTAAATCAAAAATACAGTAAAAAATGTAATATTGTGAAATTATTACAACTGTTTTCTATTTTAATACATATATATTTCATTTTCATTATTTTACAAACCATTGTTGGGTTAGTTACTCTAAGTAATTAATTACTAGCTACTAATGAAATCTTTAACAGTGTAATTAGATTCCTGTACTAATTACTCTCTCTCTAAAAACATATTGCATTACTTATTACTAAATCACTTATCATCCTCAACCAGTTAAACAATATAAAGAGGGACATTAAACAGCTCTTTTCAAATAAATTATATAATATTTGCATAAATTATTCTTGAACTGATCAAAGTATTTAAATAAAAAAGTTGCATTAAAAATACACATTTTTACATAAAATTTGGATGTTAAATCCACATCATTTTAATATAATTGTTCTATATGCAGTTTTAATGCAATTACCTCAGAAGAAAATGAAGAGTAATCCCTTCCTTTACTTTTTCAAAGGAAAAGTAATTCAATTACAGTAATTAATTGTCACACAGTTAATACGGTTGTAATATTTCTGTGGAAACCATGATACATTTTTTTTAAGGTTTCTTTGAATGTTCAAAAGAAAAGCAATTATTTGTAACATGAATGTCTTTACTGTCACTTTTGATCAGTTTAATGTATCCTTGCTGAATAAACATATTATTTTTTTTGCAAAAAGACAAAACCCCAAAACATGCCCAAACATTTCAACAGTAGTAGCCAAAATGTGCAGTATAAAACCTACACATTTAAAGGAGTACTGTATCCCACAATGCAATGCACTCGACTTCCTGACTCTCCGTGATGAACGGACCACATAACACAACGGTAGCATAATCATAGCATAATGAGCATAAATGTAACATAAATACGTTTTGAAACATTTTTGTTGTTGTGTATTTGATCTTGCGTCAGATAGTATTTCCATACACGCTGTGTGTATACTGTTCAGCACATTCCCATCACAACCAATGTTCAGAGCCTGCAGTTTCAGGGATGAGCCAGTGAGAGGTGCTGTGATGTCATCAAAGCGTTCGGTGAAGGTTGAGGCTGGGATCTGGAGGGATGCTAACTTTCCCAGACAGTAATTTAAAATCCAGTTTGTATCATGTTCAGCGCCACATATTGTGAATGTTTCAGTCTGCCATGCTTTGGCTGCCCATCCATTTTTCAACCTAGAAAATCAAAAACAGCGTTCTGCCGTTCAATATTGATGACATCACTCGGGTTTTCACACTTGCCGGTAATGTATTACAGCACGTCTGACAATGTCCCCTCTTTCCGCTCTCAGTCACAAGCGTTTCTTTCCCTGGCCTCTTCCTCTCCACTGTCCTTCTTTCATCCACATCTCTCGCCCTCCTTCGATGACAGCGTTTGCCGAGGGCTTTTCCTGCTCTCGCAGTGAAACCGAGACGCACTGACAGAACAAAGCCTCTCTCTGCAGCAGAGCTGATGGTTCATGCGTGAGGATCTGCGTGCGAGCGCTCCAAGCCAACGCCTCTGGTCCTAGTTT